CCTGGCCATGCCGGACCATACCATACTTGTTTAGACTAAAAACTAATATACTTTGCTTACGTTCTTATAATGCATTGTTTCGTCAGTTGGATGTCCTCGCTGTTAATGACATTTTCGGTCACAAACCCAATAACATCTCACGAACTTGGACTAGCTTAGGAGATTTAGGTTAGTCTTAAACCTATATACTAAGCCTAAAATGCAAAACGGTGAATTATATTTGTCATAAGGCATCAGTTTTAGGCCTATTGTATTTTTAAACACTACATTTTATATCTAGTCCCTTAGGGATTTTTAAGAATTAGAAGAGTCTATAATAAAATTATTCATGTCCATTGCCAACGGCGCATTTCGCTCATTCCAGAACTCTACAATAAACACAGTAATGGTCGAAACACTATTTATATAAGCCATTTGTTTCAAATGTTGTTGTGGTGTGAACGCCTTTTAAAAGCTGGCAAAGCATGATTTGAGTGTAGAAGAATCTCTATAATAGAAGTATAATAATAGAATAACAAGAAATAACTCAATTTATTAAACATTCTAATTGAAAGTAACATTAATGAACAGAGTTTGTCTTACGAACATAATTTAAAGACTGTATTTGTCATATTATCTTATATATTTATCAAATACAGTTTTCATTTATTTTACAGGTTTTGCTTCCCTTATTTTGTGCTCTGTGTTTGGCGGACTCTTCCGCTCCATTTTACAAGATCAATCCAGATGGCAGCAGATTACTTCAATATGAGGCTGGAACTTTAGCCAGAAGGAATTTCCGAGAAGAAGTCACTAATCCAGATGGAAGCGTTGTAGGAAGGTATGGTTTCCATGACCCAACAGGACACTTGCACGTTGTGCAGTATCATTCAGGTAGTCATGGTTATGTTGCCAAGGGAGATGCCGGTGTTTATTACGGTAGCACCGAAGAATTAGGAACGACGGGTGAGAGAAAAAAAGATGAAGAAGTTGTAAAGGAGGATGAAATGAAAGATCAAAAGCAGGAAGGAAGCATTATAGAAGATGATGATTCGATGGATGAAGGAGAAAATGCAAAAAAAGAAAATGCTATCAATGAAGATGCAACAGAGGATATGGAAAAAGATACAAAAGACAAAGAAACTGATGCTGTGGATAAAAAAGAAGAGACAAAAGACAAAGAGGATGATGCTGTGGATAAAAAAGAAGACGCAAAAGATGCATCAACCTCTGATGATGAAAAAACAGTTAAAGATGAAATGAAGGATGAAAAGGATAATAAAGACAGCGAAAATGATCAATCCAATCCTGAAGAACCATACGAGAAAGATCCAGAAATTACTGCACTTTTCCCAATTCCTGAATATGGCCGCAGACGTTTAACGATTGGTCAGTCTGATAAAACAAAAGATGAAGAAGAAGAAAGTAGGTTTTATAGTTCTGGTCACATCTTCAACGTCCCACTATCTTCTGGTTTTCCTAAGTGGTACGATCCTCGAAACCAACCCCTGACTTGGCCTCATCCAATTTTCAGACTTCAAGATTCATCTACTGGTCAGTACGTTCCATTCGAACACCCGTGGATCCTCGAAAAATCCGGTTCTAAGGAGAAAGACTTGATTCCAAATACTTATCCTTTTAACTATGTTGGATCCCTCAAAAAAGAATCCACGAGCCAGGTCAAATCCGATGGTGCAGTAACGACAACAACCTTCCAGTACGCTCACCCATCTCACTTCTACTACCCACAGCCTATTCTCCCTTTCGTCCACAGACCAAAAAAATCACCTTTTCTAGTTCCCGGGTATTCTTTGTATGCTTAAAACTCAACTTGTTACTTTCCAGCGAATGTATGCCTTTCTTGTTAACTAACCTTCTAATACGTTCTCGTCTATAACTACAAGAGTTCTGTAAAAATTAAAAAGAGAAAGGGATTCAAACCCGCCGCTATCCTTGTTATCAAATAGATGCTTTATGAAACTCAGGTACCGGGTTTTAAGGTATCGGGTTTACGCCACACCAGCATTTGGCTGTGCTAATTAACTGTTATGAAATAAAACCTTTTTTTTGCCAACTTTTTATTCGAGAAAAACCAATGAAGTGAGATACGAAATATTACTAGTAAGCATGATCAATAGTTCGAATCCCGATCGGTTTTAGTTTTTTACGCTCTAAACAAAAACGCTATAATGATAGTATTAATGTCAAATACCGCTTTAGTTTATCTGTAATTTTTATGTAATCACTTAAAATGATAATGGATTGTCTTCTTTAAATCAATTTGATTAATAATGTGATTGATTTCTGATCGATTTTATCGACGAGGTCGTCTGTAATTGGCTTATTGAAGATTTTGAAGTAATGCGTCATAAGTATCCAAAAGTATTTTTTCAGGACCAGTTTTTTAAATAAAGTGTCATGTATGTTGTAATCAAAACTGTAATAAATATTCTGTACACAAATATGTCACTTCATTTACCTGTACATGGCCAGGTGGTTAGGGAACTCGACTCGCAATCTGAGGGTCGCGGGTTCGAATCCCCGTTCCACCAAACATGCTCGCCCTTTCAGCCGTGGGAGCGTTATAATGTTACGGTCAATCCCATTATTCGTTGGTAAAAGAGTAGCCCAAGAGTTGGCGGTGAGTAGTGATGACTAGCTGCCTTCCCTCTAGTCTTATACTACTCATGTAGCTTTGCGCGAAATTACAAACAAACAATCTTGTTATTGTTTTAGTCGAAATAACTTTACAACTACTTTATCACTAACACCAGTTTAAACCTAAATCCACTCTTTGTGTTTCTTGGCAGTGCATGATGTTATCGCTTAGTCGTAATAACTAGTAGTAATTTTTAAAAATCATAATTCTAGTTAAACGATGTTATCATTATCCCTTAAAGTTAATTTTTTTACAAATATCTGGTGTTCCTTTAAAAAGATTAAGTACAAGGTGAAACAGGAATTACCAGTCAATAGATGAACATTAGATGACTGTAAGATGTAGAATGCTCAATGCTTTGTACACTATACAATCGGTGTCTTCAGGGAGTCAAACCCTATATTATGTACGAAGCGAAAGAGTAGAAAAAAATATAAAACGCAGAATATTAAATTTTATTACACTCGTTCATAGAATACACTAACTTCCAATCAGGGGAAAAAAGTCACAAAAAAAATTTAAATGCGTAAAATAATGTTGGAGTAACAGTGTCAAAAAGAATGCAAACAAGAACAAATGAATGATACAGTTATACAGAGATCATTTCTGCATGAGTTTCAATATTAAAATTTAATGTTACTCTATAAAATACACAATTGACTTTAATATTACTGCAGTTGGAAGGTTTATATTCCTGACTGTTGGTATTCAGTTTGTTTATCATAATATCATGGTCATTTTAGGTTAGGCATCAATGTAGTGTAACAAAGAGCCTAGGACTTGCGTACAAGGAAAACCAAGTTGAGTCAAACATGTCTTGATTATTAGAGACTCTCGTTATGAAGTTTGTCGAATTGACTGACATTTTGTACTCGTGCATTTCATATTTTAATACTGATAGTAATGTAGGGATGATCTATGTATAACTCTATCGTCCATATATTCTTGTTTGCATTTTTTAGGCCCTGCCGTTTCTACATCATTTTACATTTACAAAATGTTTTTTACTACTTATTAGAAATGAAACGTACAGAAAAATTTATGCTGTTCAATAAGATGAAGTTTTCTAAACACATTATCCGGGATTCAAAACTCGTAAAAAATACTTACGTAAGTATATTAACGGGCGATAAAACCGGCACCACAAACCGTAGTTAATACATAAAGACATGAACCACCGGGAAGAATAAAAAACAAATTGTTTGTTTGAAGTTAAGCACAAAGGGCTATCTGTGATCTGCCCACCACGGGTATCGAAACCCAATTTTTAGCGTTGTAAGTCCGTAAACATACCGCTGTCCCACTGAAGGGGGGGGGGGGCTAAAGATAATAATCATAATTAGAATCATACCAATTGCAGAAAACTACAGAATATTTAACCCTAACTGCAATTAACTGGTGTAACGGCTCCCAAAAAACACCGTGGATATCCAGCTTCTTAAGTGTGTTTTAAACACAGGTGGAAACTAGTGGATTTACAACACACATATATACTTATTGATCTAAAGTATTGGTCTGTTTGTTTGTAAATAAGCACAAAGCTACACAATGGGCTATCTGTGCTCTGCCCACCACGGGTATCGAAACACGGGTTCTAGAGTTGTAAGTCCGCAAACATGCCCCTGTTTATAAAACTTGATTAAATTGTTTCTCTAATGTAAAAGTTGTTTCTGTGAGAAAAGTGATATAAAACCACAGATATTACTGGCTTATTAATATTTTTCCAAATTTTACCACTAGAGTGCACTATATACCAATGTCATCCCAGAGCGTATAAATACGATAGTGAATATGTTAACATAGTGGTTTCCAGTGTTGTTATCGCTTACGTCCACTCCGATTGGAGCGTAAAATGTGCTGAATTGTGGGGCCGAGATTCTCGAATTCGCGCCCGTTCTTTCGCCCCCCCCCAAAAAAAATAATTACGCTCCTCATTTTGGGACCGTAAGTGCGTTACAAAGGGGGGCGGTCAGATTCGATTTGAGTAGACTGAATATTGGCGGTGTGTGTTACTTGCTAGCTTCTTTCCTCTAGTCTATCACTTCAAAATTAAGGACAGCTAACGCAGAAAACCTATGCGCGAAAGTCAAGCAAATCATGGTGTAGTGTTACTGCTTCATCATGTTGATTTAAGTGATATTACATAAAATAAAAGTAGTTCAGTGGGTAGTTTCGTTTATTTGTTAATACAGTCAGGAAAGGCCAACTTTGGACAACAAGCTAATATATTATCGGGCCAAGAAAGGCCAGCACCAGACAATAGAACCAACTTCAGATTGTCCGAATTAAAATTTTTCAAATAAATTGTGATTTTATAAATCTTGAAGGTGATTGGTTATATATTCGTAATCTCGTGCGGTAATTGGTTCTCTTTGTTCTTTAATAGATGTACTACTATTTCGTATTGGGGAATTGTTGATATGGGCACAACTGGATGCGGCTCGTTGGTTGTTTCTAACGGAACTTAGATATGTATTTTCTGTCATTATTAATTATTAATTTGGTAGACCTTGGGTAATGTTTAATGTGTCATGAATATGCTTTTGACCTAACGTTCAAGTTCGAGTTGCTTAGATTAACACTACTAATCTCTAAGTGTGTTTGTGTTTTCGCTATAGAAAAGCCACATCGGGATATCTGCTGTGTCCACCGAGGGGAATCGAACCCCCGATTTTAGCGTTGTAAATCCGAAGACAATTTCGAATTACTTGTTTGTTCGTTTATGCAAAGTTACACAACGGGCTCTATGTGCTTTTCCCGATATTTAGGCTTGTATGCTCACAAGCTTACCGCTTAGCTACTTGTGGAGGGGGGGGGTTATTGTTATTTAAAACGTTAGTTCTAACAACTAGGCCAGAAAAAAGTTCAAGAGCGTTGAGAATTGAATACTTATACAATCAACTGTGATACATTTGGTTAATTCAGTAGATTCGCGTACACCGAAGGACATAGATTCACCAATGGACAACGTGTTTCTGGCTTATCTCTTTCGTGTTGATTATCTGCGGTCAGGGACAACAAGCTCCCGGTATTTTAAAGATTTCGAAAAAAAAAAAACAACAAAAAATCAACCAGCAAACCTTTGTCGTCATCTTGAATTTTTTTCACAGATAATGCCCCAAACAAATTGTTCTTAGACTGTTTTACTTTAACCAAAAACGGGCCATTTCTACGTGAAAAGTGCCCAATTTTAAATAGAACAAAACCTCTGTGTAGCTTTGCGCGAATATCCGAAAAAAAAAGACTTTTAGGCCCGTATTTGTTTGTTTGTTTTAGCACAAAACTACACAATGGATTTTACCGTTGCAACTTATACCGCTGGTCCACGGGGAATAAACATATATATATTCGTTGATAAAAGAGTAGCCCAAGAGTTGGCGGTGGGTGGTGCTGACTAGCTGCCTTCCCTCTAGTCTTACACTGCTAAATTAGGGACGGCTAGCGCAGATAGCCTTCAATACAATCAATACAAACCATATATATATATTAGTTATGAAAACAAGCCTAAGCAGCTACAACAAAAACCCTGCAAAAATGAAAAAAAAAGAACACCAGGGCATACATAGGCTATAATGTGGGGTATAAGATGGATTTTATGGATTTTGGAGGTGACAGCGGAAGTAGGACTAACATGGCGGTTGGGATACACCGTCTACCAGTCTTAACCTCCGTTCGCTAGTTTCGGGTGTTAAAGAAAGAAGGATAAATGTAAAATAATGAGGTATCTTTTGTGTCGTGTATCTCAGTTTTGTAGTTAAGGGTGTAAGTAATTGATATTGTTTGGATAGTCACTTACTATTACAGATTTTTACCTCGGTTTTACATTGTACTTCTTATTTACTGTTTATGTAGTCATTCTTTCTTCACTAAACGTATCCCCAGTAGGTTAGCGGTAAGTTTACGGACTTACAACGCTAAAATCCGAGGCTCGATTTCCCGCGGTGGACAGAGCGCAAACAGCCTATCGTATTGTTGTGCGCTAAAGCAAACAAAAACCATCACTAAACATGCAAAAATACAAGAAATAATACTGACATCATTTCTTTGAAAGCATCATAAACGATATCTGGTTGAAACGGGAGATATATTTATCGATTCTGATTCATTTTTTATATCTACTTTCGTAATATTAAACGTTCTAAGCATTTGGTAGAATAATATTAAGATTTTGCGTACCTCGCCAGGAATAGCATTTTATAAGAAAATTTAGTTACAAAACTGTCAGATAGATGGCAGCATTAAATATTGACTTTTATTATTGAATTGTGAAGTGGATGAAAATATAAAACCACAAATATTATTAGATTTACAGTATATTAACAATAGACCTGTTAGACACAAAAGGAATGCTATATATAGTTGTCATCTGACCAGCTCCTTTAAGCAATTCGGTTAAACGAAAGTCCAATAAATTTTGAACCCATTTTTTCACGACTATAAATGGATAGACTCGGGAGTGTAGTAGCGGCTAGCGACGCGATCTATAGATCGAAAAATTCAAGGTTCGAGCCTTGAGATATCTCTGAACGTATTCCATTCTTCATAAACGTGATAGTTAATTTCGTTATTTAGTTAAGTGTACGTATTTAGGTCACTCAATAAAGATGTACAGAATTCTCAGATGAGTTCATGGGTCTGGCTGTAAAAGTCCTCCTGTGGGACATCAGTAAGTCTACGGATTTACAATGCCAAGTTCGGGGTTCGATTCCACACAGTAGTCATAGCAGATAGTCCAACGTAGCTTTGGTC